AAAGTTGCCATCTTCTAAAGTAAATTCTAAAAGTGTTCATATCTATTGATCTAGCATAAAACCATTCAACCATGTTGTAGCAAATGTACTTAGCAGAAACTAGGGCAGAATATGTGGTGGTTCTTTCATTTGTTTATGTTTGATTTTTTTCATTGATAGATTTTATATATTGGTTTGTTCGTTTTTGTTTTTGTTGCTGTCTGTCTCCTGTCATACTTTAACACAGAAGTGACTGATGAGGAAGCTTTTCAGGTTTTGGGGAATTTCTGGGTTTTAAGAACTGGAATTATCAGGAAGTCCAATGATGGATTTACAAATTGGAGCACAGCTCTACCCAGCATTTTTCAGGTTTTATTCAAATACAACCTCATTTTCCTTTTTCATATGTTATATATTATATATACATATATATATGTATATGCTTTATATATACATGTCTATAATGCTCATTTTATGTGTTTTAATGCATTGGTAAGTGGCAATAGCAGTGCATATGGGATTGACACTTTTTCTACGTTCTCTGATGACAGCTCACTTCTGTTGTATTAGGTATTCACTATGAAAGCTATGAAAGCTTTGTGAGCTATGAAAGGTTTGTGATGGTAGTTCTGAAATGTGAAGTATACTAGTGCAAATGGGTCTGAAATTAGAGTCTTCTAAATACTATGTCTTATGAATAGTCATCCATCTCCATATTTAACAGAACAAATGGACCTCTTGTTACTATTGTTAGTTATCTTCCTAAGTGATTTTTAAACCCATTAAGAAATAATTTGACAGGCTCCTCTTAGCATAGATAATAATTCTTTTATAGTGAATATGAATCAAAGAGAAGGGATTGCTTATATCACCTAATGTAACAGTGCTTTATTTTGCTATAAAATTCCATGTGTACTGAAGATTAAGTGAAGGCCTGACTGACTTTACTTTTTCCCAGAACAGCAGATACTACAGTAGTAGTATAGTAGTATGCTTCACCACCTGAAGGGATCTTCTAGTAATACGTTGCCTTTTTGCTTTTCATTGCCTTTTTTTTTTTTCCTGCTAGTTCAGTAATATCCTAGGAAACATGGAAAGAGGCAGTGTTTTGTCAGTTTTAGCCAGAAGCCACTATTCATTTCTGAGCTTGTTTTAACATAGCTAGACACAGTCTCTTCTGACTTGAATTCTTGGAACAGCTTCACTGACCTGATAAAAAAAAGGCTTCACTTGTGTATTCAAAGATCTTCAAACCAGTCTGGTACAAAATACCCCTTTGTACATTAATTCATTAGCTTCTAGTGTACACAGTAATTTGAATAGTACATACATTACATACTATCTTCATCAGAGCTTATAATAACCTAATGCATCTATGTAGTTTTTGAAGTACATTTGGAAGTAATGTAAAACTTTCTGGATATGTAGTCTCTGTGCAATGTTTTACTTGTAACTGCACGTCATACTCAATTTAACTGATGAGTGAGCCTTCTCCTAGCCAAGGACTGGACTATTTGCCTGTCTACCTAATAAGCAGATCACTTGGGCAATATTTTTCATTCCAGTTTGCATAAAGCAATATTTTTATATTTACACAAAGCAGAGCTAGTAAAAGGATGAGTGAAAACATTGGACAGATGGTCTTACATTTTTCTATTTTGTAAATATTAAATTACCATATGTAGAAAACATGGTTTTCTTTGGGTTTCAGAAAAGTAGCTAGCATGTTTTCCCAGAGTTTGTAATTGCACTTATGCTAAGAATTTTAAACAGAGTTCAGCCCTTTGTCAAAACTTTCTTTCAGTCTCAGATATATATCTGATTAATGAAGGAAAAATATCTTCTAACTTCTTTTCACCTCTTATCACAGTTTGTTATATTCTACCTGACACTTTTCACTTCATCTATGTGTTTACATAGTTTAACATCTGATATTACAGTTTTCTTTGCTTTTTTTGTTTCTGTTTTTGACATGTTCAAATCTGGCCTAGTTCTTGCTTATCTAGGCTGATTATATGCAAGTACATCAGTTAATAGCAAATCAATTTCATGATACTTTTAATTGTAGTAATTTCCATATTAATATATATGCAACAGTACTTAGACAATGTTTTTTTTTCTGTGCTCATCTTTAATTTTTAGTATCAACAGAATAGAATCATTGTCTTTCTAGCAGGTTTGAAGTTGTAACATATTCACAGGGAAATTTTGGCATATTAAATCAATGATTTGGATTGTAATACTCCATACCTCCAGAGAAGTTTGTTCTAATAGACATTTGTGCCAATTACAGAAAAGGAATCTAGTGAGCTCGGGATATTCAATATACACTGAAGTCATTAATGTTCACAGTAGTTTATGTTGTGGTTTTCAGAAAAGTAAAATATTTCCCCCATAATTCAACCACCAATAGACCATAATCACTGTATTTCAATACTCCAAATCCCAGATTCTTGAAACACTACTTTTTTTTAACCTCAAATGCATCAAAGTTTTTTACTATTTATAATACTGACCTAAGATTTAGACAGTAAGTTTTCTTCTCTAAACTTTTTTTTTTCTGTTTAACTTTTTCTGTCTTGATTAGAGCATGAAAATAACATGACCCTCTTCATCCATGTATTTGGTTCATGAACATGTACTTTCCAATTTTGTAAGATTATGGTTTTTGAAGAGTTACAGATATTTAGGATAACAACAAGGTTTGAATTATTATTACTGAAGACTGTGTAGTTATTTTTCATCTAAAATAAAAATAAAAATTCACCCATAATACTGTCTGTGTTGGGTAAGTTGGGTAAGCAAGCCAATAGGATAATTCAGGTTGGAAGGTACTTCAGTAGGTCTTTAGTCCAATATCCTGCTCATACCAGGGTCAAAGACCAGATTGTTCAAGGTTTTATCTGTTGAGCTCTTGAAAACTGCAAGAATAGATATTGCATAATCTTTCTGGGCAACCTACTCCACTACATAATGAAAAAGTTTTTGCTTATACCCAGCCTGAGCCTATTTTGTTTCAACTTGTCAACTGTCTTACATCCATCTGCTATACAACACTGTGAAGACCCTGGCTCCATCTTTATTTTTCCATGGATAAGAGTAGATGGCTCTTTAGTCCTCCTGTAGCAGTCTCTTCTTCAGCTTGAACAAGCCCTGCTCCACTAGCCTCTCCCCATTCACCTAGTGCCCAGTTATGCCTGCCCACTTTGTAGGCCCTCCCCTAACTTCATTCCAGTGAAGTCTGTCAATATTTCTTGTTCTGAGGTTGGGATGGGGATTGTCTGGATGTAGTATTTTGCATGTGTCCCAGGTAGTGCCAAGCAGAGGTAGCAATTGATGTCCTTAATTTACTACCAATCATCATCCTTTTAATTAGCCTAGGAGGTTGTTGACTTCTTGCTGCTGCTTGGGCACTCTTGTCTACCACACCTGTCCTCAGTTTGCATGATTCCCAACTGGTTATTCCCTCCCAGATGCAGAATTTAGCAACTATCCTTGCTGAATATTATGACGTTCCTTTTGATGCATTCTTCCAGTCTCTAGGTCAGTGACCTCATCCAGATTATTGATAAAGGTATTAATTAGGACAGATTCCAGGACAGAATCCCATGTGACCCCACTCGTTACTGGCCTCCAGGTAGAGTATGACCTCCACTGTCCTCTAAGCCCAGCTATCCAACTAGATTTTTACCAGCCTATCTGTCTGTATGTCTGGATTATAATGCCCTAACTTAATGTGGGGGTTGGCCTTGGCTGGCAGCCACACACCCATACTGTCACTTGCTCACTCACCCCCATCCCTAGACAAGGGTGAAAAACGGGAGTGAGAAAACTCATGGGTCAAGATAACGACAGGGAAATCACTCACTAATTACTGTTGTGAGCAAAACAGTCTCCAGATGGGAAATTTAATGTAATTTACATAATTAACATAACATTTAATTACTTATTCAGGTACTGTGGAACAAAGAAGGCAAGTATTTAAACACTTATGGAAGACATCTGTCCTCCCTGCTCTCCCAAGCTCCAGATACCTCTCCTTCTCTGTTCCTAGTCTCTACTCCCCTTCTTACCACCATAGACACAGGTTAAACTCAGTCCCTTCAGCGAGGTGATAGGTGGTGCAGGAGATTTCTTTCTGGTGTTCCTTCTTTCTCATACTTTTCTTCTACTTCTCCTTCTGCCTAACTCATTTCTTCTGTTCTGTTGTGGGTTATCCACAGGCTACAGTCCCTTTGGGACTATACCTGTTCTGGCATGAGTTAATGCTTGGGCCCCTTCAAGAGTGTTCCCAGCTCTCCTGTGGATTACCTCCTACTGCTCTGGCCTTCCTTTTCTTCTTCTGTCTTGTCTCTGCCCTTTCTTAAATACATTTTCAAAGGGATGCCAGAAACTCTTGGCAGTCTCAGCTGCATCCTGTGATGTGTCTACTGTGAAACCATCTGGAACTGTGTTCTGCACAGTGCAACCCCTGACCTACTCCCACAGATATCACCTTGGAAGCCATTCTCTGCTATCTAAACCTTGCTGCTTATTCCCAATACACGTAAATACAAGAATATTGTGGGAGGCAATGTCAAAAGCCTTGGTAAAGTCAGGGTAATCACCACCCACTCTTCTTCTCTCATCCACAAAACTAATCGTTTTATCCTATAGTCAGGCGTGGTTTACTCCTGGTCAGTCCATGTTGAGTGTTCCAGTCACCTTCTTCTAATTGAGTTTTAGTTCTATATTTGTTTGAATTTCTTTCCTGTTTTATTATTTTTTTTTCTTTTTCCTCAGTTTTAGGATGTGAAATTGTTATTCTTCGTATAACATTTTTTCCTATTTTGATTGTTTTCACCACATCTTAACATACAAGTTAAACTACATGTACACTGTAGTTTAGAAGATAAAATGCTGAGATTTAATATATAGTATATGTTGTAGAATGAGAAAATACAAAATATAAAAATATATACTTTAAATTTATAAATGGCAATGTATTACAATGTGTTTACAACATACTTTATATTTTTCAGCTCTACTTCAAGTTACAATTTCACTTAGCAAAGTAGAGCTCAGTGTGGGTGAATCCAAATTCTTCACATGCACGGGTATGTATTCACATTTTTTGTTGTTAGATTATCAATGTTTTGCATGATTTGAAAGTGAATTTATTAGTTCACAATATTAACTTAAATGTGCATTGTTCTGTATATTCACATTGACTTGTGAGAATTGTGATAAATAGAAGATCTTGTAGAGACTATTGATTTCAGATTCCAAACAAACCATATCACTCACTCAGTCTGAAATTTGTCTATATTGATATAGATGATTTATATCTACTAGGATGCTTGTTTAGTTAAAATATTTTTACTTGTCTAAACTAAGGATTTAATAATCTACTAGGCAAAGCTTAGGACCCTCTCTGCCCTGAAGAGTCTTTTCTTGAGAGACAGAATTAAGTCAGGAAGGGAAGGGTTTGCTTTTGCAGCTGCCTGAAATGAATCCTTGATGTTTCTGATTTGCCATCATAGATTGAAAATGATACATAGCCTGTTTACAATGACAAGCTGAAGTGACTTCTGGCCAGCCTGTTCTGTTCCTTTAAGATTTTATAGATTTCTGTGTTTATTTTTTTCCTCTTGAATTCTTGAGCTACTAATTATCCTGTCCTAACAATTACACATTTGCCTGCTGTTTAACCTTGCCTATCTTTCTACAGACTTTCTCACAACTCCTTTTCACAATTCAAACAGATGTCAGAGAGGTGTCATAGATGTCTGTACATTGGGTAGGCATATGCATTGCTTAATGTCTATTTGAACTTCTATTACTTTAATTTTTATTCTTATTTTTGTTTGTAGCCATTGGTGAGCCTGACACCATAGATTGGTACAATCCACAAGGAGAGAAGATTGTTTCTAGTCAAAGAGTGGTTGTTCAGAAAGAAGGTGTTCGATCACGTCTAACCATTTATAATGCAAATATAGAAGATGCTGGTATATATCGGTGTCAAGCAACAGATGCTAAAGGACAAACTCAAGAAGCTACCGTTGTTTTGGAAATTTATCGTAAGTAAAATAATATCAAATAACAAAGGAAAGAACATGTTTTGAAAGCCACTGCTATTGAGAAAGTAAAGCCTATCAAAATATCATCCCAGACTCTGAACTGCATATGCCAAGCAATTGCATCTCCTGTAGTTTAGTTCACAGATACTATGAACTAAACTTTGTAATATTGTTGATTACTTCTCCTTTGTATCTTAAAATATCATCTCAGAGGGGTGTATGCCCCTAATGGAAAAGAGGAAAGATGTATTTTATCAACCTAATTTTAAGTACAAATATATATAAAATATATCAAATATGTAAATAAAAGTGTAAGAAGTGCAATGCATGTCAATAAAAAAGTGAAGTTTAGATTGAATTAGTTATTTTTGTCAGTCTTTCATATTCTTGGTCTTATGGTGAAATCTGTGGTGGAATCATAAAGCATAGGAGCTTAATATGGTAAGCAAACAAAATGCATTTCAATTGCTAACAACTAATTGAAGAGTATATTTGAAACATAAATACATTCTTCTATGGCTAGAGATTCTCTGAGAGTTTATTTGTTTGCTTTTTTTCAATACAGTTCAATACCTTTGCAGTATACTGTATTCTATAGATCAGGTGAAACTATACTATATTCTATAGATCAGGTGGGTGAAAGCACAAGACATATGCCAACATCCTTTCAGCTATTCTTCTCTAATTTCATTGGAGAGTAGTACTTTAATATTCATAAAAAAATATGTTTGTGGTTGTACCGAGTGTTAAGGAATTGCAATGAGACAGAAAATACAGAGTGGAATCATAAAGCACTGCTTCTGAAAGGTACAGATAACTCAGATAACAAAAGACATACGATTTAAAAAAAAAAAAAAAAGCTATTGATAAAACAACCATTAGAATGATGATAGCAGTTACAAGCAATTACATGATGGCTTGAAAGCTGACAGTTCAAAGGATTGCAAGTTTTGTGGAATTCATTTGTATGCTTAAAGCTGCCAGTTACTCCATTAGCAGACTGCTGAGCATAGTTGAAATCTTTTGAAGTGTTTGCATGTGGTAATTTTAATAATTCTGAGATTAGACAAGCCCAAAGACCCACAAAAGAAATGTAAAGGTTTATGGGAACTGACACCTGAAAGTTTCATTATTTGTATTTGTGATGTAAGGGAAAAGCAGAATATGCTGTATTACTAGGATCTGGTATAGTACTCATTTATGTTTGTCAGAATTCTTCTGATGTAATTATGATCAAATACTTCAAACATTTTACACAAATACTTTATGGAAGAATACAGGACATGAATATAACAAGCATGCTCCCTCTGCTGTGGGAACCATATGGATTATTTGAACCTGCACTCATATAAATACAAAAAGGCAGAGGTGGAGGTGCATTCTCTGACTCCAAAGCATCCTATTGAATGGAACTGGCAATGTTGATCATAGAGAACCTGTCAGTTTGTCTCTTCTATGTGCAAGAAATTCTTGCAGAAATTTTTGGCAATTGGTTTCTGCCTTAGATCTTGTATGAGGACGTGGTTTAATGCCAACTTGAAGTTCTTTCACTGAATTTGAACAATAGAATTATTAGAACTTATTGTTGAACTGAGTATTGAACTTATTCAATCCATCAATAAAATTAAATATCATCTTTTGATTATTTGGAGCAGAAATAATAATTCTATCAGGCCTAAAACAATCTTGTTACCCTAAAAAAATCTTGTTACTTCCTCAAAAAATCTACAAATGATAATTATGATACTTGTGATAATTATAGAAAGTTTTTCCGTACAATTTCCCATGGACTTTTAAGTTTTTATGTTTTGCTCAGCTGATAGCTTTCCCAATCAGTGAGGCTTAAGTTCCACCTTTAAGACTTTTCCAAGTGGTTTCAATGGATATTTTGGTGGAATGAAAACGTGAATTTCTCATTCAATAATAAAATCGTGAGGAATAAAACACGCAAGAGAGTAAAAAGTACTATTAACTTGAATGTATAGACATCTACAAAACTAGAGTTTCAAAACTGGGCTCTGAAAAATCAACAGTAATGAAAAATATATTTATGAAACATGCCTCATTTATATAAATAAAACAAAGTTTTCATAATGCCAAATGACTGTAAAATCAGAGTGAAAGTTCTGTGTCCAAGACAATTTTGAGTCTTACCTGAGAAGATTATATTATGGAAATAATTCTGTATTACTCATAAAGAGAAGGTTAATAGACAGCTTTATCTCATTTGATATCACATTTAATTTCAATGCTAAGTGAACTGGAAGATGATAACTGTATTTGGTTTTCTTCCTTTTCAGAAAAGCTCACTTTTCGAGACATAATCTCTCCACAAGAGTTTAGGCAGGGAGAAGATGCAGAAGTTGTTTGCCGTGTTACTAGTTCACCTGCTCCCATTGTCAGCTGGTTATATCGGAATGAGGAAGTCGCAACTCTTGCTGACAGTTAGTATTTTGGTAACTCTTTAAGTTATACGTTCTAATTAATATTAAGTTGTTGTAAAAGATTAATCACATCATGATGGAGGGTGGATTTTAATTAGTCCAGTATCAGTAGGATTTAACCAGTTGCTGTGGTCTATAGAGACTTCATACACAATAATTTCCTTCATATGTCATTTTTTTCCAATCAGCAATTTTGTCTAGATGTAACATGAAGGCCCAGATGTCCAAAAGATTGTTTGGAACTCTTCTGCAGGAACTGTACCTGGGCTGTCATGCATGTACACAGGTGAACTTCTCTGTGCTAGCAAAGCTATGACTCTTCCTCAGAGTGTACAATTTACTGAGCAAACTGCACACACTTTGGTATACTTGCACATTAGCTGAGTCTTCTAGGTGGGTAGGCTTGTTGCACTATTGTGAACATTCACTTGTATAAGTGTAAGCTACGTTTAAGTTACAAACTACAGCAGATATATGTGATCTGTTTAGGCTAGATTCCTAACAGCTAGGCTGATAAATTAGGTGTAACTGGATCTACATGCAAGTTCATAAGTTTGTAGAGAGGCAGGTAATTAGACACATAAATTGACGTGCTTTGCCACCTCAAAAGCAATGACAGCATTTCTCTACACTGTCTCGTTAAAGTTGTTTTTGTCATTATGGAAAAGAAGACAATCTGCATTTTCTGGAAATGAAATTAATGTTGATGAACCATTTTATCCATCTTCTCTTCCGTCTTGATCTCCGTATGTACTGAAACTCAAGGTTGTAGTGTGTGCACTTAAAATTCTTATTCTTTAAAAATTAAATACTATTTTAATTTCAAAATGAAAATGAATGTAATATACCTAAATTATGAATGACAACCCAGTATGGCATCCAATAAAAGTTATATTTGTTCTTTTATGAAAACATATAAACAACTGTGAGACAGTTGCTGGAGAAAATAAAGGAAAAAATAAAAAAGCTTGTTAGCTTGTTTTATGTTTCTGGACTCAGTCTTGCACGCTTGTTTTATGTTTCTGGCGTTGTCTTGTACTCCTGTCCACTATGAAAGAAAGTTTTGATCAAAATTCTTCTCATTTAATATGTCTGTCTTATTCCTTCTGTCATCTAGGTACAAAGACTAAGACAAAATAAACTTCTACCCTTAGAAAAAGGGTTGACATTTTGATCTAAATAATTTAAAAAAATGAATGTAGGTGAGACTTAGAAGATTTTGAAAAATAAGAAAACAAAGCAAGGTTTGGCAATTTAACAGGAAATAGTTTTCATGGACACAGCTCAGAAAAGTAAAATTGCCCCAAAGATCTCTCTTAAAGTTTTGTTATTATTACCATTTTATTTGCTTTTCTAATAAATCCGTCTGCTGTACGAAGAGCAAAGGAAATAAAACATTTCATTTCTTTTTTCAATACCATATATTTTGAAAACTTTGAGTTTTTAAATTCCACATGTGAAATTGTCTCTTCAACCTTTTTTTTTTTTTTTTTTTGTGTGTGTGTGCAGTTCTTCAATGTGAAGAAGTAGAATGACAGAAGCCAATTTTAATTTAGATTTTCCTCATGTTTTGACCTAGACCAGTACCTAAATGAGATCCCAGTCATTCCTGGGAGGAAGAGAGGTTTAAATCATGTAAAAATAGGACATCATGTACTTTAAGTTTTGGCAATGTCTATATTATTTTATAATGAAGGTTGAAAAAGAGTATTCCTAATGTCTTGCAGTTAAGAAAATTTCTCCATGCCTAGTGAATTAAAAAGACAGTTGCATATTTTATTTCCGGCTTCACAATCTCCAGAGAAGGACTGGTACCTGTAGCCTCTTCACATAATTTAAGTAACGTCAACTTTTTTTTTTTTTTACTATATTACAAATGGTGCCTATTGAAAAAAATATAATTATTCTTTTGGGGTTTTATTTCATAGTAACCTAAATTACTGAACAATTTAATATTCAAACTCTCTTGTATATTCCATGGTTTATTTTAGGGACACTTGAAAGCAGCCTCTATTTTAAACATTCTAGAACTTGCATAATAGGAAGACATGAAATAATGTTCTGTATTTTGTGAAATTTCTCCTACATTTTGACCATTCTTCCATTGTGTTACAATTAGTAGGATTTTTGCAGTACAGACTTTTGATTACTTTGGTTTTGCAAATCTTGACAGTTACTGCTATCTGCATTTTTATGTTCCATTTGAACAGAAGACTGCCTTCTCCCAGAAGGCTAGTTCACAGAATCGGTAGTGAAAATTTGAAGATTTTTCCTGCGTAGGAGGCCTATAGATGACTGAGAATAGTCTCTCACCATTCTGAATTGGTTTCTGTATGTTCCCACCTTATCTGCTCCATTCTCAACTATGAGAATTTACATTTTAAAAAAATCCTTCTAGTTACACTATAGGGTACTGCAACTTATTCCTGGCCAAAAAAAAACCATATAGGATCACTGTACTAGAAAACATTAAACAAAACCTTCTATTCCAGTGCCCCAATGGAATTTTCTCTTATTCTAAAAGACCATAAGGGACAGAATTCAAAGGAACTATACTGACCCACAAAATCACATGAGGTAGGTTTTTGTAATTTGGTTTTGCTACTGTAGTGTAGTGCAATCTCTGAGAAGAAGAACGAAAGAGGTGCTTTAAGGTTCCCACTCAAAGTCAATAGTTTGCACAGAGTTCTACTTACAGAGTAGAAGTGGTTCCATTGCTCTACATAGCCAATGTAGAAATGCTAAATATACTTCTGTAAACTGACATGCAAATTTCACCAGAAGTTTTGATTTTTTCTTCAAGAGATCTTTAGTTGTGTCTCAGTCTTAGAATGAAAAGTTATGCCTAAACTTTTTCTTAGATATTGTGGGCACATACCCTAGGAACACAGTAACATTTACAAACCAGAGCCCAGGTTCACCCTAACTGTCAGGAGCCAATTCTTCCATCTCTTGCTATGAGACATGAAAAGAACATATGGAATCCCACTTGCCATGCCCCTTAATATTTGCTCCAGCAACTGGAGCAGCTCCACTTCATGCTTCTTCTCTCACATTGGCGTCTGCAGGGCTAAATTTCAAATATCTTTTTGTTTATCCCCTCACTCTTCACTGCTGTGCAGCATTTTCCCCTTCCTTACCCAGACTTCTTAGGCACCACCATCGTGGTGCCCTGTAGTGGGGCCGTTGGAGCTGGCTGTGTCTGGCATGGGGCAGTCCCGGCACCACCTCAGAGGCACCCTGAATCCCCCAGCTGCCAACACCTCGCCACATAAACTCAGTACACTAGTTCAGACTGAAAGGAAAATTAGAACAGTTTACTCTTGCAGATTATAATTTTGCTGATTTGTATGCAGGAAAAAAAAAAATGCTTGTTCTGAATCTGGTTTTACAATGGAGTTAAGCTACTCAAGAAATATGTTGAATTGCAGTTTATACTGGACTTTGCAGAAGGTGAAATGGTTTCTTGCCTTGAAGAATGAAGTGTTAGACGTTTGTCTAGGAAGTCTTAGACTATAGCAAGATGGACCATGGACTGAGTTATAGGAAACGACAAAGGAACAAGGGGGAAGGAGAGCAAGCAAGTTGAGAAATCCGTAGTGCCATAAAATAGGCATAAGAACATTGGTTAATCAAGATACAGAGGAAAGATACATTTTCTTACTTAATCTTTTTTTTTTTTCTATTTCTTTAATCTTGTTTTATATAGGTGTTCATGAATATTACACTATTATTTTTTTAATAATTTATAAATTTAACTTTCTTTGAAGGGTCACCAGATGTAAGTAAGAAGTTATGGATTGAAAATCCTGATTGATTTTTAAGAAATGGCAATGTATTTTGGGGTGGATAAAAAGCTACTTTCTTAGCTTACATTTTACTTTTAAATTGACAAATGCTTTGTCATGAGCATTCTGTGTATTTAGAGAATTTTAATTTTCTCATTTTCCCATTTAAATTAGTTTTCCTATAGTTGTCTAGATTTGCTACTAACACTTTATCTTTTACATGCCTTTCTAGATCGATTTGCAGTATTAGCAAACAATAATCTCCAAATTCTTAACATCAACAAAAGTGATGAAGGAGCATACCGATGTGAAGGAAGAGTGGAAGCCAGAGGAGAAATTGACTTCCGGGACATAATTGTTATTGTGAATGGTAAGAAGTAGAATCATAGAATCACACGATGTCTTGGGTTGGAAGGGATATTAAAGATCATCTCACTTTTCTTGATTATCATAGCCTCAATTTTAGAACATATCAGCTTCTAAAAAACCTAATTAATATTAATTTGCTAATATAGTTCTCATGTCTGTTTAGTATTGTTTTCCTATAAAAGTAATTGCTTACTATTTAAAAAATCCATTTTACTGTATAAGTAGAATTCATTGCATTTCATAATGTCAGAGTATATAAATATACAAAAGCCCTATTACTATTTTTAATCATTCAAAGAACACTGGCAATCACTACAAGACTCGAGTTTCAAATTATGTTGTGTAGTAATTCAGTTCACTACATTTTTCAGTGTTTTATTATTTCTTGTTAAGAAACACTGATTTTTCATAGAAATTCAGCTTTACTGCATTGGGCATATTTTATTTCTTTTATTTGAACCATCCCAAAAATCATGAATACATTTTATTTAGATAAGCAGTATTACTTCTAGATTTTTAACATGTTGTTATGAAGACTAAAATATGATTTATAAGTGGCATTAAACTTTTTATTAGTTTATTATAAATATCTACTAAGGAATATGAAAGAATGAAGACAAAACAGAGTATTTAGTTCAACCTCTCTCTTAAATTCACGGCTGGCTTGTTGAAAAGTAAATATGAACACAGGACACAGTTCATAAAGGGCATGTTCTATATGTTCTGTTTAATATCAGCATTTTAGTAAAACTAATTCCATTGTGCTATTAGCTTCTGAGTTCTAAATGCTTTGTCCTTGACAACCTCAAGCCTCTGCAAACCTCAGTTTACAGAAGTCATTATGGAAACTAAATTATCAGTTAATTTCATGAGAAGAAGCAGCTTCTGGCACACATATCTTTAATCTGTGTAGTCAAGCAGCAGTATTGGAATCAGAACTCTTTAGGTAGGAAGTATGCAAAAAGTGACAAGCAAATGGGTGATTATCCTGTGTGTTGTGATAGAATATCACAGTACGGGCCCCGTGCATTGTGAAGTCCCCTCAGTAACTTGCTTTCATCAATGTGCATTGGGTGCTGCATTGCCTTGACTGCTGAGTATATTCCAACAGTTCCAACAGTATTTAAAATAGTATTTAAAATTCTGCATGAGATTTTCTTCTGTTGATATTTATGTATGTGTATATGAAGCTAAATTTTGAACACCTTTCTTTGCGATATATGCCATTGAGCTGAAAGAGAACTTGTGTTAAACCTGAAACATTGGTTTTCAAACTCCAATCCCACTTCACATCTTTTATTGGTGGATTCTATTCACAAATCTGTTTTTGCTTACATTTGTAACTGCTCGAGACAGGAATGCCAACATTCACTTACATCTAGACTTCAGTCCATAGTGCTGTGAGAAGAAGAGGTTTCCAGCTGAGAGGTTCTAACATTGTTGCTTAGTTAGAGTGGTACCAATTAAGAGCTATTTTTCTGCTTAATTTATAGGAATAAATAGCTTTTCCTAGGTAAAACTGAATGTAGTAAACCTGGCCCGAAATGCCTTTTAGATTAGTAGAAATAATGGCTTTTATATTAATCAGAAAGAAACAAAACTTACAGTACTCTTTGATGAAAAATAAAAAAAAAAAAAAGAAAAAAAATTATCAATGAATTGAACTTAAATGTGACTGGACTTTAACATTTTGCTATAAGTTAGATATGTGTGACACTTTCCAGTATGTCACTTATTATATCCAGACCCATTTGTCTTTCCTTTTAGGTTCATTTTTTAAATTCGATCCTATGTACATAAAAATACAGAAACAAGATAAACAGATCTCACTTCCCAGAAGGACCTATAAGAAAAATATTTCATGTAATTGTCATCATGGTGTCTCTGAGAAGATTGAAACACTTAAATAATGGGATGAATTGAGTCATAGTCCTGTAGTTCTTAGTTGTGAGTAGTGAAGAACCTGCTACTGGTGACAAAGAATTGATTCACGTCACTAACTCTGTTTTCAGGTCTAGATATTAGAATGCACTGCAAACCAGCTAAAATGTATGAAATGTTGTCTAAGTGATACTTAAAAATGTAAGATGACTAAGTCACACAACAGAAGGGTTTTTATATGCTGAGTAGTGACCCATGCAAATTCAGATAGAAAATAATTGATCTGTGAAACACTTAAATTTCAGCACCCCATGGAAAAGTCAAAAATATATAACATTTACTTATTGTTGATAAATCTGGTACACTGCTTTTAATAATTCTGTGTATCAGATGTTCAGAAACTGAAAGGGCTTCTGAGAATACTAAAGCTAAATATTTTGTACTGTTTAACACAACAGAAGTTAATTCTCAACAGTTTGTGAGAAAAACTTGTGAAAGTGAAATGGTATGCATAAGCAATTCATTGGGGTTGCCTTCTGTTCTTTACTGAAAGTTAAGTCAAAAAAAGGATAGCTCTGAGCCACTCTGATGATAAGGTGTTCTTGCTAGCTATATTTTATATATTATATATATAATATAATAAATATTTTTATAAATATATAACTATAATATATGTATATATTTATATTATATTTTATATTATATAGTTATTGAGAGCTGTATTTTGTGAATCTTCTTCCTCTTACTTCCCCTGACATTCTTTTTTTTCCATATATTTTCCTTCAATCTGCGGGGTTTGTTTGTTTGTTTGTTTGTTTTTCTTGACAGTTAATGGAAACAGATTTAGGACAACTGTCTTAAAATTACCATATAAACAGAGATATTAAATATATTAATAATAAACAGACCTGTGAGTCGATCTGCTTTAAATATTATTGCTATTTTTCTCTTGGGCAGAGGTTCTCTCCAAACAGTTTTAATTTTATTAATGACTATCCTATCGATAACAGACAAAATATGTGGTTCTCAGAACACAATTACCAAAACAGGTTGTAATTTCTGAAAACAGATGGTATCTATTGGGTCTTATCATGTCACTTTTTTAAGCTGGTGATACCCCTGCCCAAGAACTTTGCAGGTGTTCATTAGAAAAAAATAAATATGCTTAATCAATACTGCTATATATTGACACTAGTTTTAAAAGCACTGTCTGACATCAGTACATCAACTGTATGTCCACTATAGAGTTGAATGAAAGAAAGAAACTAGGGAGATTTTTATCTGAGATACTTAAATTACACCAGTCATAACTCTACTGTATCTTATGCATACTAAGTATGACTTCAGTCACTTTAAAATGGTCTGTAAGAAAATTGAACAACAACTGAACAAGACTTTTGAGTTTATTATTGTACAAAAAAAAAAAAAAAAGTTATAAACGTCCTGATTAAAAAAAAAAAAAATGTGTTTAAGAAAAACAGAGAAATACTGAGAACTGATTCATATTGTAACTTGATCCATAAGTATAACTATAAATTCCAAAATTAGCAAAGGAGCCTATGCTTTAAATTTCTCCAGAATCATACAGAATCTTCTATTTTCCATTACTTGGACATAATGTTTTATTTTTCAGTTCCCCCTGCAATTACTCTGCCACAGAAATCCTTTAATGCCACTGCAGATCGAGGAGAGGCAATAACTTTGTTCTGCAGAGCCACTGGATCACCTCCACCAGAAATAAGTTGGTATAGGTAAGTTCAGTAGAGATCTGCATATGAGAGCACATTGTTTTATGGTGTTATGATTTTTTGTCACACTCCATTAAGTAAGCTGGGCAACCTTAATTACTTTACTGAAATTTAAAAGTATTTACTGTCCATTTCTACTGTTAACTTCTAAAGCTAGAATCAACATTAATAAGTGAATGAACTCACAGAAATTCTATTGCAATTTTTAAAATCTAATATGTTTTAAAATATGGAACTGCTTTTAAAAGTAAGTTTAAAGTTCATGTGTTTTTGATTATGTCAATGAAATTAACATTGGGAACCATATAACAGTTGTAAAAACAGAAATATCCACACACTTTTTATTCTTTTAATTTTAACAAAAATATTTATATAAATATATTTATATAAAATATCTCAAACTCCTCACATCAGTGCACATTTCTATTTTGGACCCAAATAATTTGCATTCACATATGATTTCGGGTGAAATTAAAATGTCACTGCATTTTCAAAATGGATGTCACTTATTAATTTCCTTTGGAATCTTTGAACAATGTTATTAATTTTAAATATTATCTTCCTGTGACAGACACCTTTATCCTAACACGTCATAAGATAAATGCAGAACTAAGTTGTTCTCTTTTTTTACAATTTACAATGCTTTACTTTTTTTTTTTTTACAACTTCAATGATAGATGTAAAAAAATAGAGCACAGTTAATTCCTTAACGTAGCCTTGTAAGACAAGCCAACATTGATGTTTTATATCGTTATAAAAAATATATATAAATTTACACAGTTCATGGATATCTCTGTTTACAGATGTGTTTTTTCAATATTTTATAAATATTACACTACGTTTACAGGCTAACTCTGTGTCTTGGAGAGACACTTGTCTCTGCTGATCAGAGAATACCTTTTTAATTTTCCTTTGTCTTGCCTGTCACTGAGGCAACCAACTGTTCTACACCATTCATTAATTATCTTTCATACAGATTTTACAAAAACTTCATCAACTAGTGTATCATCAACTGTATACTGGATCTTTAATGAGGAACTTTTGTTCCGTACTTATTTCAGAAGCCAACACGAGCAGCAATGGTTTATACACTTCCTATCCCTGTTTATTATTATTATTACTCTTATTATTATTATTATTATTACTCTTATTTATATTTTCTCTGATTAGGTTGTAAATTCTTGGCAGGATCTGTTGGAATATTCTCCTTGTCCTTGGGCCTACCTCGCAGATCTTTCCAGATAAAGACCCTAGTTTTCTAGATTATTTCAGATTCCCTTTCTTTGGAAATTAGACCGAGCAAAGGGAAACTAGATCAAGATAATCTTTTTTTTTTATTTCTTAATAAAAATCTAGAAAACACTGCTATTTTAACTGTTTTAACTAATTTATCAAATAATAACTAGTATGCATTTCATCCATTGAGAACCCACGTGAATCTGTTTCTCAGAATTAACAGCCAAGGTATTATATTCCCAATTTCATGCTGTTTAGTGTACTTTAGATGTTGGATGTAAGCTGATATTAATATCAGCTTTATGAAAGTGTATTGGTGGTTTTTCTAATAAGCAAATGGAATTAAGTCTTGATTTTGACTTGGGAAGCTGGGAAGACTTATAACTTTTGGTTGCAGCAAATTATGGGAATAATATTCTGCTTTATTCCCCCAACTATGCTGTGTTGTTTTTCTTCCAACTTCAGACATTTAACACGTCTCAGGCAATCCATTTGTAAAATGGGCATGCGGTTGCAAGATGTGACTTAATGCAAATCTGTTATATGAATACATAGCTACACTAAGGACAAAAGTACAGAGATGCAAACATATATCATATTATTATATTATATTATATTATATTATATTATATTATATTATATATTGTATCATATATCATGTCATATTATATTTATTATATTAGTAGAGAACTAGATGAAATAGACACATGGATGTTCCTGTTGTTAGGAACTAACTCCAAAATGGACTAAATACAGTGAATAACAAATACATATTTTTTCCCTTTTAAAACCTTTCAAAGAGTATACTGGAGAGCTGAGGAAAAGTTCCATTGATAAAAAGGGTGGGATAAGTTTTACTCCGTTCTATTGGTGGATTTTCATTATACTATGTAGAAAATACCTCCATACCTGTTCAGATGGTTCATCAAGATTAAGGACCAACAACATTACATAAAAGCATTCAACGTTACACACAATTGAATGCTCTTGTATCTTTATTACTTTTTAAAATATGCCCTGACATCTAGAAATCTCTCATTGGCTCTAGTGAAGTTTCTTTAACAAGGCATGCATAATTTGGATGTCATTGTGTGACATCCTTAAAGTTCACTGCTATTTTAGTCAATTAAAAAAGAAAATCTTATTATTCTTTTTCCTCTTGCTTTCTGTCTGGTTTCCAATGAACTGATTTAACAGAAGGTCAAATTCAGCTCAAATTCAAATTCAGCTCAAACATGAAAAGTGGCTTGAAAATCAAATGCCAGTACAATTGACATGGCTTATATATTCCTCTGCACTGACTGTAAGCAGGATGCTGGTCAGAACTGTAGTTTCAAACTTTGAAATCTCTTAAAACAATACCTAATGTGGTAGAGCTTAACTATTTGTCTTACCCTTTCTGTTTCCACATATTGACAAAGTTTAAGATTCTGTAAGTTTTGAGTGGAGTTATCTGAGCTAATGTGTCAGTGCTCCTCAAAAATGCCTTAGTACACATAATAGGTAGTGAATTTGAGATACTTAGTAAAGAAGAAAGCTCATCAAAATTTAAGTTTCACTCTATTTAATAAGGAAATATACTTTGTTAATATTTCATGAACTAAGAGAATCTAAATCTTTTACCACTTAACTGATATTACATTACTGTACAGCATAACCTTCAGAGAAATGATACACCGAAGCAATTAAATTAGCCAGAACTGAAATATAAAGATACAAATTTACAAGTCCTGAACTGATGATCTTTACTCACATGAACAGTCCTACTTAAAACACAGTAATTATTTACATTTGTGGAGGTAATTTGCAGTAGTAGAGTTTAGCTGGATCTATCCCCCTTATCTTTACTGACAGGGCTTAGAACTATCTGACAAAATAAATAATCCTCTTTCAATGTACTATTCATGTTTTCTTGTTTGCCTATATCAGCATCAATCTGAATCTTTCCTGTTCAGATGGTCCCGGGTAATCCTCATAATCTCATTTCTGTTTAGAGATGGTCACAGATACAGGTGATTTTTAAGAGAAAATGCACTAGGAAACTATGTTTGACCTTGAATATAGACTTTTATCTCCTACAGAAATCACTGCAATTTTTTAAAACACCTAGGTGGAAAATTAGACCTTTTCTGTTCTGCTAAGCATTTTCTGTGATTTACTTTGAAAAGAGGATGAATAAGTATCACCATAATGTATTGAAATGGGCTGATAAGTGGAACAGAGTTACTTACAAAAATGTTACTAAAATGCAAGCTAAATAAATGTCAGGGAATCCTATTAACAGAGATTAATATTTCCAAAGGAGGGGTGGGAGAAAGGCAGTAGTGTTTTCACTTTAGGGAGGGTAATATTTCAGAAAATATGAAATACATATAGCTATTGGCATTCTGTGAGTAGAAAGAAAGTGAACATCATTATTGCTCAAATCTTGAAATAAAACTGTTCAAAAACTAGACATATACATTGGTTTCATTTGACAAACAATTTTTCAAGAACTTGGCATTGCCAGCAGGTTTATCAATGCTTATGAAAATCAGGCAGACTTTATGTAGGTGCTTTTGTGAACAGGCTGTTAATGATTCAACAGAAAGAAAGGTCAAAAGAAGACTAAAGCAAACAAGGCAGCATGAGAAGAAACCAAAAAAAAAAGGTAGGATTGCTTCCTTTTAGAAGCAGCTGTTATGATAACTATGTGTACGCCAAGGTACTCAGATGGACTGGTCAAGCCTTGATCAGCCCTCAGAATTATTCACAGGTTTTATTATTTCTATACCATCTGTTCAGAATTCATTACAATGTCTGGACATACATCTGCTTACTAAATTGTGGGTAGCCAACAACATCTGAAAGGAAATAACTTGGAAGAGTTCTTTATAGGCCAATAGGCTCTATGTGTAAGCAATATAAAACATTTTTTATAAATCGGTACATTGTTACAAGTATGAACTGCAATAGTATATTCCAAAATGTTTCTCATAAACAAGCATGTATTTTTTAACTGATTTCTTTCTATCCTTCCTTGAGTGTAAGCCATATATTATGATTCTATTCACAAGCATTTTTTCTACCATTAAGTTGATCATGAAAATTTAAGTATAAAGATATAGTATATTTAATACACATGTATTTTAGAACCTGACAATAAAATTGTGAACATCAAAATGCAGTCCAGAATGCATTGCTTATGTCTAGGATGCTCACATTCTTATAAAAGCAAAACAACAACAACAACAAAACAACAACAAAAAAACACCAATGTTGTAATCCAGCAGAACAATTTTCATAGTTCTGAAATTAGTCCCCTTCTATACGTACTACCAATGTATGCTGCATGACTTAATGCATTTCTGAAGATAGCATAATAGCACTTTCTTCCAACAAATACTATTTTAACCTGTTTGATGCTCCCATAGCACCATAGCACATTGCTTCAGACTTTGGAACCTACTAGTTCTTTTATACATCTTTTTGTTTGTTTGTTTGATTTATAGGAATGGCAAACTTATTGAAGAAACTGAAAAATATATGTTGAGAGGAAGCAATACAGAACTAACAATAAGAGATATAAAAAATATTGATGCAGGTCCTTATATCTGTAATGCTAAAAACAAAGCAGGAAATGATAAAAGACAGACATTTCTTCAAGTTTTTGGTAAGTACTGCATAAAATATACCACCCTTCCTTTTTAAATGTAAACAGTTGGGAACTGAAATTAGAATTCCCAGTTTTCAGTGCAGTATTCCTGTAAGGTGTCTACTGATGCAGCAAACAACTTTCTCTATTATTTTGCAGCTTTTTCCTCGCTGTTGGCTACTTTAACCTTTATACCTGAATCTAATTTTGAAAAGGCTATCTACAGCCTTTGCTATTGCACAATTTAGGTAGAATACAATGGAGTGTTAAATTGTTAATTCAATCCACTTTTGCCTTTAAAAATTGGCTGCTTGCAAGAAAAACAAGGGTAGAAAAAGGGAAAACTATTGAAAGGGAGAAAAAAAAAAAAAAGTTATTTGGACTTCTAAGCAGTGCTTTTTTCTTTTATCTTTTTTTTTTTTTTATGAAGAATGCCATGCAGATATGTTCCTGATTTAATATTTGTTTTTATATTTTTGATTTTTTAAAGTGCATGATAAAAAAATCTAATCTAAAGAAATGACAGTTTTAGAGGCAAAAAAAGTAATAATATGAAAACGTACTTCTCTTTCTATGCCCTACCACCCAATCTGTTCATGATTCTGTCCTTTACAGAGAATGCTGATGTTTTCTTTGAACTTTTGTGTAGCTATAGCTTATGTGAGCATGCTATGATTCTTATAGCATTTGTGAGAATATAGAAACTCTCCCTCAGAACCATTCTGCAGGATCAAGGCTATAGCTCATTTAGGAGAAGCCTACAAATGAAGTAATACACCCTGTTGTTTTTTGTTTGTTTGTGTTTTTGTTTTTTTGCATATAGGATCACTGTATTGTTAGAGTACTTCTATATTGTATAAATAATTAACTGTAGCTTTTAGTAGATAGAAGGACCACATATTTGAACAGCTAAAACATATACTTGGGACCATGGAAAATTAAATTTTACATCCCAGTTAAAACAAGTAGTAATTTATTAGTAATTTATACAGACTGAAACAGTTCCAACAGGAGATGCTAATCTGATGTCTCACTAGAAGCTGATGGACTGGGTAATGTTATTTTGATTTTGATGTGGAGCCTGAGGTTGAAGCCATGGTGTGAAGTGAACAGATTAGCTGTGCCTGTGTGCTTTACAGTGTCCTATTTGGGAAACTTTATAGCTTTTCTAGACTGTCCATAAATTATTTAATTTCTAGACTGTTCATAAATTTCTAGACTGTTCATAAATTTTCCAGTCCTCCATAAAATCTAGATGGTCTGCCTAACCACTGGGATACTTGATGTTTTGTGGTGATTAAGGGTTCTTTTAAGTTGCTTTTCAAATGAATAAAAATAAACACAATTTTAAATTTCATTCTAGCCTAAAGATATATAGCAGAGTGAAGATTTTTGTGAAAAAGCATTTTATTCGTTTGTATTCCTCCCCTGACCCTCCCCCCCCCAAAAAAAAAAAAAAAAAAAGTAATAGACTTGCTAGTTTTGATATGAGTTTGGGGAAGTTTCAGATGATAATAATTTTGCATGTAATTCAAATAATTTTAAGTATGGCTGAAATTTACTTAGTTTTGCCTATGGCAAGGTTATTTTTTTAATGCAAGGAACAGTGAAAGGGAGTAACACCAGACTAAGAACTTTTCCTGTATGCATTCTTCCATCTTCCAACAGCTACTGATTTGGGGACTCCTCAGAAGGTTAAAATTAATTAATAAATACCATGAGTTTGTTTAATAATTTTTTGAATATGTATATCCTTTTTGCTTCCACAATATCCTAAACTCCTAAATTCCTTAAATAATTTCTTCCTTGCATGACAAGGTATTTCTAAAGTTCAGGTCTGATACCGGTTCATTTATTTGGCTCATAATTCTCATTTTTAAGTGAAGAATAGTTCAAAATGTTCTTTACATCAAGCACAGTTTTATATGTCACTAGTTCATATCTTTTCCAAGCTGAAAATTTCCAGTTTTTAACTAATTTTTCCTACTATGGAAACCATTATGAATCTCTGATCCATGCATTTTTGTACCTTTCTATTCATAATCCATTATCTGTGAAATGGCAAGACAGGGCTGGCATGCAGTATTCACATTGTGGGGGAAGCAGGCTGCTTAGCAGCACAGTCCTGCTTCTGCTTTGATCTCCATGCCTTGTCTTACATTCTCTTTACCTCTCTGGCTCTCCCAAGTATTGAACTGACATTTCCACAGAACTGTCAGTGGTGTCTCCCAGGTCTCTTTCCTGAGTGGTTATAGCTATTTTAGAGCACATCATTGAGTGCACATATTTAGATTTTTTTTTTCCCATGTGCTTTACTATTGGATATACTCCAATTAGATTAGAATAATCTGTGTACTGTTTTTTTGACTATAAGGCATTGTATGAGAAAATAAGCCTCTTACCTCATTTGTAATCTCTGAAGCTCAATGTGATTTTAGTCTAGTATTTCCTTTACAAAGTTCACCTCTCACTCTGAAAATGTGGAGAAGAGTTGCTGTATTTTCTCCTACACAGAATTTTGTTTTTAACTTTGTCTCTCATACAGGTTAAACTCCCAGACATATATATAACCAACAAGTTATTATACTTTTCTTCCCCTTAAATGTATTCAAAAAACTGCAGAATGAAAATGGCAAGGCAGATGGCTAATTATTATAGTTAAATAGTGCACAAGCAGCCAGTTTATGTTAAAATGACCTATTAAATTACATAATTCTTCTTCACTCCATTAGCTTGTTTGTCTCACCTACCTGTTATCTCTAATGATAATTTACAATTCAAGCTTCTTGAGTCAATGACTATTATTTGTATTACAACAGGGCTCTGGTAGGGTTGAAACTCATAATACCAGTAATGTAACCATAAAGCAATAATGATAACAGTAATATCACAGAATTCAGCATTTAAATTTCTTAGTACTCTGCACTTCTTGAATGGACATGCCCATCAATGTGCCATCTAACACCTGCATATGTTTATTTCCTTGACTTAGATATTTTTGTTAAAAATAAATATTAGTTTGTTTCCAATATTAGTGTTTAAAAGCTATTTTGTCCTCATATCAAATTCTTATTTTTACAGTTTTTCTGGAGCATTAACATACATATCAAAACCTATATGCTCCCACCCTACTCTCCCCAGTTTTTCATCTTCTTTACTGCCTTTTATCTGTTCTGTATAACACATCTTAGATGAGTAAAGGAAGCCCCGTTCACAGAAGATTTCTTACTGATCATGATGTGGTAATCTTTCATTCTGTTATGAGAATAGAGGACCCCCTATGGGTCTTTTTCTCTGTATTTTCAGAGAAATTTCTGTAATCCATTATTACCAAAGAGATATCATCTGTATTAATGCCTAGAAATTGCCCTAAGATTTTTGGTACTAATTTATTTGGCTTTAGTCCTTTGAACAAGACTGAGTAACCTACATTTGCAACAGTAGTAATCACTGTGGCTGTATGAAAATACTGTGTGAGACATTTGTAGACATCTGTTTCGCTTCTACTAGTGTAGTCAGGGTTTCTACCTTACATTAGCTACCTATGATACCTTTCACCTACTATTTGGAATATAGCTACCCCGCTCCCCACCTGCAGTGCTGCATTCAGCTCTGGCATCCTCAACTTAAGAAGGACATGGAACTGTTGGACTGAGCCCAGAGGAGTGCCACAAATTTGATCAAAGGGCTGGAGTACCTCTCCTGTACTGGCTAAGAGAATTGGGGATGTTCAGCCTGGGGAAGAGAAGGCTCCAGGGAGACTTTGTAGCAGACTTCCAGTACCTAAAGGTGGGCCAGGAAAGCTGGAGAAGGACTCTGTCAGGGAGTGTAGGGATAGGAGAACGAGTAATAGTTCTAAAGTAAAAGAATATATACAAGGAAGAAATTATTTACTCAGAAGGTGTGTAGGCACTGGAACATGTTGCCCAGAGAATCTGTGGATGCCCCATCCCTGGAAGTGTTCAAGGCCAGGCTGGATGGGGCTTTGGGCAACCTAATGTAGTGGAAAGTGTCCCTTCCCATAGCAGGGGGCTTGGAATTAGATGGTTTCTAAGGTTCAACCCAAACCATTCTGTGGTTCTATGATTCTGTGATTCTATGAAATATTAAAAAATATTTGTAGTGATTTCCCTACTATTAATTTACATTGTTTTGTTTTGTTTTATTGTTGTTGTTGTTGTTCTTTTTATGCAAAACATGTATATTGATATGTATATGTTGTAAACATTTTGAAATATAAAATACCACATTGTTACTCCTATGGGCACCCTGACAAAAATTTCCAAAATAACATAATAATTAGCAGTGGATTTAACAGAAATCAAGAAAATTCAATCCTTTACAACCTTTTTCACATTTTCTTACTTTCTCAGACAGACCTAAACCTGTATTTCTTCATCATTATTTCTCTAGGGTGATGGCAGTAGTGTTCATTTACCTTATCATAAAAAAATTGTTCCGGCTAAATGAAGCAAATTTAGCTTTAATTGAAGATAAATCCATGCTTTATAAGAATAGTGCTTATGTTCTGAGGATAGTTTTTGTCTTCATTTTGCTTATTCTTTGGTTGCTCACTTCCACTCCTTAATTGATTAAATTCTTAAGTAATTAACTTAAACAGTTCTGCCATTCTGTGATGCATAATCAGGTGACATTTTTTCAACAAATTTTCTCTTTTTTGCATATATGCCATAGAAAGAGACATTTTAATGTCTAGAATTTTCTATTTCTAGAAAGAAAAAAAATCTTCACTCAGAATTGGTTAAAAAAATCAAGAGGAATTCTGTTATATATTAATTTGAGGTTTTCTAGGATATAGCTGTTATACCTATATGATCAATGAGGGTAGACTGAGATTATGAAAAATATTACACTGGTATTTCAGTAGTTTCTGATGATTTTGTAGAAGTCAAGGGAAAATACTTCAAGAAACACTACCCTTTATAATTATAGTATATTTTGACCACATATTATTTCTATTTTCTAGATGTCTTTTAAAATATAATCTTATATAAAAGAAAGTTTTGTGCAGCTATGTTCAATATAACTTTTGTTGATTAATGAGAAAAGTGTGTAGTATTATTCTTTTTTTTATCTGTTATTAGACAGATGAGAGGATGGAAAATGTAACTGACCTTTCCTGTTTTATCCCTCTTAGATATATTCCAAATGCCAAAACTAAAAACACTGAGGTTAATTTAGGCCCTCAAAGGACTTGCATCTTTGAACCAAGCAGGCTAGAGTGAGTCTATAATGAGATTGTGGTGTGGAGATTGCCTAAATGTTTCCATTATTTTCACATTTATAGTGCCTGAAGCACACCTAGCTAATTTTTCTTTCAGTTTAGTAAGTAGTTTAATATATGTTTTGTTTTGGTTTTGTGATTGTTTTTCACAGCTGGGCAGCTGAGCTCCACCACAACCATTCCCTCAAAGGAAAAGGAAAGGGAGAGAAAATATAATGAAAAAGGTTCAAGGGTTGAGATAAGGACAGGGAGATCACTCAACCATTATTGTCATGGGCAAAACAAACTCAGCATAGAGAGATTAATAAAATCTAGTACCTATTACTAACAAGCTAGAGCAGTGAGAAACTCAAAACATCTCCGCCCTGCATTCATTCTGTTTCTCCAGGGCTGTTTCCCACTCCTTGCTCTCCCAGCTGCTGTTGTGTAGCGTTTTTTTTTGTTGTTGTTTTGTTTTGTTTTTTCCCCTTTCTTAAATCTGCTCTCACAGAGGTGCAAACAACATCACTTACTGGCTTAGCTCTGGGCAGTGGCAGGTCCCTTTGGAGCTGGCTGAAACCGGCCCTTATCTAACATGGGGGAGCTGCTGGACTCTTCTCACAGAGGCCACCCCTGCATCCCCCCATTACCAAAACCCTGCCACATTAAACTAATACAGTTTTCTACAATACAGGTTGATACGTATATGAGAGCTCTTTGTTTAAACCTAGTGATACACACAGGAAGGGAATACTGTGTGTCTAGGTATGTAGCTATCTGTGCCTGCTCATCAGAGGCATTATGAAGAATATCAGCCACAGCTTCATGAAGTGAAAGTCATCAATAAAAGATGTAGTCTCAAACATTTATACATTTTCTGTATCCCTTCTTTCCTCCCTCCTAGCTCCTTACCTGTGTAGAACACCTCTATTTCTTAAAATAAAAATTACATTGTCTATAAAGGCAGTGATGCCAGTTCTCTCAGAAGACAAATCTTAAATCCTTTTTTGAGTGTGAAGTAGTAATACTGTTTTAACATGTATAAAGACTCAGGTTTATCATGCACTAAATCAAGTCAACACTTTATACTAGTGTGTGTGCATTTGTTTTTATGATAGGAATGAAGTTTCAGGAATCAATTTCCTAGGTATTTTCTTGTTGGGCTCTCTAGCTTGTTTATAAAATTCAAATTGTATCAGCAGTCTCCAGGGTTGCAGTTTTGCTACCTGATTCAAATGTGGCTGTGCAGGAAGATAACATAGGAGTGAGATTCCTCATATGTAATATTAATCAAGAGATCCAACCAGGTAGTGGTACAGGCTTATTAATATATTAATATATATTAAGCCTCTTCCTACTAAATCTATGGTCGTATTAATATTAATTAGCTGTTTAGAGTAGTTATTTTCCAGAGATAAAATCAAAACTTTTTCAAGCTTTTTCTTTGTTCAGCTTCCCAAGTCTGATAAACTTCTTTTGTCAATGCTATGGGTAGAACTCTGTGAATGCACTAAATTGTGTGTCTTTTTCAAGAGGTCAGCTGCAAGCAGCAAATAACAAACCTAGAGTCTCTAATTACTATCATGTTCTTAAGCTTTGCAGAGGAGACTGTAAGGTACGCAACAATAACATGAACATTCAGTTTACAAGGTATTCCCCTTGTCTGAATCAAATACAGAAGAAACCAGGCAAATATATATATATATATATAAATAAATGGGAAGAAACTTGTTTATTGAGAAAGTTGTAGGGAACTGAAGACCAAACTTCTCTGTTCCATGAACAAACTTTCCAAACAGTAAATATTATTTCTTTATTTGGCAGCATCTATTTTAATATTTCAAAATGCATCTATAGTGATGAACACAAAATCACAGAATGGTTGAGGTTAGAAGGGATCTCTGGAGGTCATCCGGTCCAAAATCCCTGCTCAAGTAAAGCCACCTAGAACAGATTACCCAGGAACATGTCCAAAGGCAGTTCCATTGCCTTGCCAGTAAAATCACTTTAATGAGCTCAAGCATGACTCTTTTATATGTTCAAGCCTTCTTTCATTTCAGACAGGTCATTCAGTTAACAATTGTTTAAGTACGTTATTATCAGGATATTATGAAAAGGTTCTTCACGGAGAGGGTAGCGGGCAACAGGTTCCCCACAAAAGTGGTCATGGCACCAAGCCTGATGGAGTTCAAGAAGCATTTAGACAATGGTCTCAGACATAGAGTTTAGTTTTTAGGTAGTCCTACATGGAACCAGGAGTTGGACTCAACGATCCTTGTGGATCCCTCCCAACTCAGAATATTCTATGATTATAATACAAATACTTCAGTGCTTTTGACTGAAGGAAATAGCAAAGAGGTGGAAACATCCTGGACTGAAATCCCAAGATCCTATATTTTCATTGGTTGTTGAAGTCAGGAAACTTGATTGCTCCTATAGATGGTAGTGTTAAGCCTTTAGTTAAGCCTAAGTAAATAAACATAAATGTGCTTGTTTGTAGTTTTTTGTTGTTGTTGTTTGTTTTAAGAAAGAAAGTCACTAAAAATATTTTGACATGACACTTTTTATGCAGGGTGAATAATGTAATTTGTATTTTTAACAGTACAGCCTCAAATAATACAACTTAAAAATGAAACCACATTTGAGAATGGGAAAGCCACCCTCATCTGTGAAGCAGAAGGAGAACCTATCCCAGAGATTACTTGGAAAAGGGCCACCGATGGAATAACTTTCTCTGAAGGTGACAAGGTAAATCAGCCTTTAAAATATCTAAACACATGTCATCTGAGCAATCTTCTTTTCATAAGCAGAAAAATAATTGAAAGAAACTGGAATCAACTTTAGATGAAATTAGAAGGAACTAATACTTCCTGAGGTAATATAAGAGATGTGGAAATTCAAAATCTTTAACTATAAAAAAAAAAGAAAGAAGGAAGGAAAGAGAAAAGCTATTAAAGTGCTGAAAGGCACTGTACTTCATCAAATAGTTCCTACTAAGGGTTTCAATTTCTTTTTGATTGCAGTGGCTGCCCTTAGCCCTCCTTGACTATATTTAGAATCTGTCCAGTATTTCTCAAAATGCTGTAGATCCTATAGATATCTGAAATAAATAAATATATATGTAAGTATATGTGTCTCCAAACACTTTGAAGAGCTTTCTTTCCCACTTATTTTTTTTTTCTTACTTCTTTCTTACATTTTCCCTCACAAAGAGCAAAGTAGTTTATAACTACAAATTGAGCCCATTTTCCCATTGTGATTTACCATTTTCAAGTTTTATTATAAAAGTAAGTTGAGTAGAAAAAGATTACAGTATGATAATGGAGAAAGTCAGTTACTGTGGGAACAAGAGCTGTAATTAGATGGAATGGTAAGCAAAAGGGAAGGGTATAATGTTATTCTTAACCATGTAGATTAGTTTCTACAGAGCTTTTTAAAGCATGATTTTCTTTTAATGTTTAAACAAGTATTCTTAATTTCTTTACATAAAACATAGAATTTATCTGCACTAGTTAAAGCCTGAGCCTCTCTGGTTTGCTAATTCAGAAATTAGACTCTACATAATGTATACAGACAGTCCACTTGCAGATGTTTGCATATTAATAGCTGTTGCTTAAAAAAATAAGTCAAACCTACACAGTGATCAAGCAAATCAGGGAATTAGATACAGAGTAAGTCACTCAGTTTATAGGATACTATTGTATATTACAGGAATATATATTTCCATTATTTGTGTTCTAAAAGGACAATGTCTTGTTTGGTCTAGTCTCCTACTTATCCTTTCCTGGCACTGAGGCAGTTTTTGTGAGGCTTTGCCTATCATTTTCCTGCTCTGTGATTTTCATTTCAGAAAAACATAATGCTATTTATATTTTTAATTAGTTTTGCACTAAAATAAAACAGTCGCTCTCCTCCTTAAATACTTAAAGTCAAAGGTGATCTTTCTAATACACAAAGACTACATTTGGTTCAAAGGTCACAAACATAGCTTTTTGCTTATGTTTGGAATGTTCCTAAAAATAATTAGTTATATCAGAAAATGAAAATGAAAGCAAATTGCAGAAATAAGCCAAACACATTGATTCAGTTGAAATCTGAAATTTATCCAGTGCTCATATAGTATGGCATTCCATTCTTAATTCAAACTGCAAGTGGTTAAACTCTCTAGACCTGCCAGTGTTACCTACATGCCATTTTTTTCAACAGTGGTTCAACTGAATAGTACTGAAAACCAAACTGAAAGCTATATTGAGTTGCTACTAGTGTGTTTTCATGCTGTATACAGATGATAAAAAGAACAAGAATGAATACAGTTATGTGGTTTCATTTTGTTCTTGCCAGTGAAGGAACTTTCAGTATATTGCTCCTGGCCAACTTTTTGCTGAATGCTGAATAACTGTTCTGAAATACTGTATGTCTCAAGCTATAAAATATGCTATTACATTGACCACGTGGTCCTCCAACACTGTAAAGGGACAAAGCCTTGACTTGAGTTTTCCTACCAAGTTTTTGAATAGGTTAACAGGGAAACAAACTGACAGTGAATAAATTATCGAATAAATTGTTGAATAATACAGCAGTGTTCTGCACTAGAAAGAAAAGGAAAAAGTGAGTTGAAGAAAATGTGAGTGTAACAGCCTTAAACTGAATTTATTTATAATATATGTGATAACTTAAAATAATCAAAGAATGATAGACTATCCTGAGTTGGAAGGGACCCACAAGGATCATTGAGTCCAGCTCCTGGCTCCACACAGGACTACCCAAAAATCAGAAACCATGTGTCTGACAGAGTTGTCCAAATGCTTCTTGAACTCTGGCAGGCTCAGTGCCATGACCTGGGGAGCTTGTGCCTGACCACCCTCTGGGTGCAGAACCTTTCCCTAACACCCAGCCTGACACACCCCTGTGGCTCCGTGCTGTTCCCTTGGGTCCTGTCGCTGTCCCCAGAGAGCAGAGCTCAGTGCCTGCCCCTTTGCTCCACTTGTGAGGGAGCTGCAGGATGCCATGAGGCCTCCCCTCAGTTGTGAGCTGAATAAACTGAGGGACCTCAGCCACTCCTCAGATATCTCTAGACCCTTCGCCTCCCTCGTAGCCTTCCTTTGGATGGCTCTAATAGTTTTATGTCCTTCATATATTGTGGTGCCCAAAACTGCACATAGTACTCAAAGTGAAGACACTCCAGCGCAGGGAAGAATGGGACAATGTCCAATCACCAGACATACTTGCACACGTAGAAAAATTATTGTCTACGTTCAGTGAATTCATCTTTTGAACATCTTTTAATATATTTTTTTAAATTAATATAGACTATACCTTACAAGCATTTTTCTTGAGTTAAGAATTTCTTTAGGGAATTATACTGATTATAATTTTATTTTTTTTCTGTAGAAGATGAAAGAACTGCTCTAACCATAATGGTAACATAATAATGATTTAAAGTAAAAATAAATAAATAAATAAATAAGTGTTGTTATTTTTTAATTATAGTTTAATAAGATCATTAGATTTACTATTTAGCTTCTCAGTCTTGTTCTTGTTTTGCTAAAATGCAAGTATACCTTCTATACCTTCTATGGGTAGTTGCAAGATGTGCTGTTTGAAATGTTTGACAACTCCATAAACTTGAAATGTTACATAAAGAATCTCTAGTGGGGAGAAAAAAAATGTAATGGTATTTTTCTTCTGAATAAAAGCCAAAACCAAAATTATTTTGACCAAAGAAAATATGGACAGCCTATTAAGGAACACCCAAATTATATAATGACTCCTCCTTTTCTTTCTCTCCATCCAAAACGAGGTGGATTGAATATAATACTGCAAAATTTGAGTGATCATTTGGTTAATTGGATTCTCTGTGCTACTTTAACTGAGATTAAATATCAGTGTGTTATCTATGTCTTTATGGTTGATGAGCAATTACTTTTTCCTGTATGAAAGAGAGTTTTACTATAGTATTGGTTAATGTGACTGTCTTTTGTCATTAATTCAACATTTATTACCAAAATTCCAAGTTTTTCCCAATTAGGAAAAAAAAAAAAAAGTGGTAGTTCCCTTGAGATTGTCAGAACCTATGGGATTGCACAGATGCAGACTGCTGTATCTATTGCTAAAAATATTTTCTGTAATCTGCAAACCATAATACAGAGTTTTGCTTTGTAACAGTTTGGACATGAAATTTAGTAAGTTTGTAGTGAGCTGTTCTGGAGTTTGCCATCCTAAATCTTGACAGTAATTACTCAGACTGGTCACTGCAATCTTTCTGGTAATAGCTGAATGTCATGATTTGTAGTGAGTAAGAATTTTTGCAGGCCTGTTTGATTTTTTCTTCCCTTACTGCTAATGGTGGACCCTTTACAGGTTTACAGTCTCTTGTCATGACTATGCAAAAGACATTCAAGTCCTTTATATAGCTTCTTGTTATTCACTTTGCAGTCCTTGACACTCCTGTGTTGTCTAGTTACATGCTTATGTGTGTTTATATAGGTGCCAAATGTAATATATGAAAGAATGTGAGTCCAATAAACACTGTGGACTCATATGACTCATATTGTTGATTAAAATCCTGGATTTTAATCAACATTAAAATGTAAAAATGTAAATCCTGGAACACTGTAGAGTTCCAAAGAGCTTGGAGAAACCAATGAGTGTGGCACTAACTAAAAGGATAACTAAAGTCTGTATGACTTGTTCTAAAGCAAAACACTAGGAAAGCTGAAGTAGATTCAATAATATATATATATGTATTTTTTTCAGTAATGCAATTAGTGATAGTTGCCATGAGTTTGCTGCATATAGATCTTGTCAAACTGATCCAGTATACATTAAAAATCCCAGTTATTTTATACCAAAATTAACTGAGTCACCGAGCTAATCATCTAAGCATTAGAGTTAGTGACAAATGGATTGCCAGCAGGCTTGGAAGTACAGTTATAAATAGGGGTGCATATACCTCTCTGAACTGTTATAATGCATGAAGGATGACTTGTTCTTACCTCATGCTTGCCACCTTAAGCCCCTTTAGACCATGTGCTTCTTGACAAATGGGGAAAAAAATCAGCAAGCAAGCAAATTTGATAGATACACTGTTAAATAGTATATCTGTACAAAAGAAACAAAGAAATATCATTAAAATGCCAATTTATAAGAGTGTGGGATTTTGATTACAGGTCATGTTCAGTAACAGATTTAGGCATTTACAGCTTGAGCATTCCTGTGCCTAGTCATTACACAGTCTGAAAGAGGAATTCAAAAATCCAGAGTTCTACCTCTTGTTTACATAGTGAGGGGAGAATCATTTGTCTTACAGAGGTCCTGGAGAAGACAAGTACACTGTACTGAGAGAACTGCTAAGGACAGTAAATGTGTATATGACCCCATTCCTGCTACAGCTTAGATAGCAGCATTGGGCTGCAGAGAGACATCTGGAGTATCAAGTATCCACATTGTCCTTTTGAGGATAGCTACCCAAGAAATACCCTTTCAAGAAAATGAGTTAGGTAGGGAGCACATTTTAAATAATAGCCTTGTTTAAAGAGTAACCACTGATGAAGGAAGAGATCTGAATGTGAGATTATTTCTAGCCTTCACAAATTCAAAATAATGTTTTATTTTAAATGATAGATCTTATAACCAGAACATCAAAACATAGGTTTTTCTGAGTTTTGAAATGGTAATGTCCAAAAGAATGGAAAATATGCACTAAAGTCATAGATGGAAGAAATAACCCTACTAGGCTTAAGGAAGAT